CCAAAAGAGAATATATTTGGAACTAAGTAATAACCTGATAAAACTTTGGTATATTCAATAATTCATTTTCACAATGCCTTTTTTTAAGCTTAAATCTGTAGGCCTGTCATGACTGTATGTTCATCTAGTGTTTAAAATATGCTGAGATTGAATGAACTATACTAATTTTTCACTATCTATTCTTTGATTCCTTTTTAAAAAAATTTGTCAACACTCAGAGAAGGCAAAAGTCAAATTCTTATAAGTTGGGAATGCTACAACTTTACAAATAATCATTAAAATACACAGGGTATGTTCATTTCTATTAACATAAAATTTTACTTTTCTACCCTCTAATGAAATCCAAAGTGCTTTATGGGAAACAGAGTTGCAGGCAAATTATGAGGTAGGGTGAACATGGGACCAAACCTTGAATCTGAGGAGAAACTGGTTTATCAAACCAGAGTTAATGCAACTTGGCTCTAATACATTAATGAAATCCATGAGATAGAGTTTTTTTTTTTTCCCCTGAACAAATGCAGCTTCAATCTATTTAAAATATCTACATAAAATTGGTGACCTTTGTGGGATAACTTTTGTAAAGTACTCACAAAGTGACTGGCCCAATTAATTTGAAGTTTTTAAAAATTCTTTCCCTTGTTCCCTTCAGTTAAATTCACTTCAACACACATTTATAGAGAATCTGTCATGCTTTGTTGCCTAGTGCTAGATACTGGAGACTCCAAAATGAGGAGAATCTCATTCCAGTCCTGAGGAATGCCTGTTATTACAGACGTAACAACTCTATGGGATATAGATCTTATTGAAAATATGACTGAGCTCAGTGAATTCTGTTCCCAATCTCTAGCCAGCGATAAATATAATGGAAAAAATCTAAATGTACTTCTTTTCTAAAGTTCCTTTTAGGTATGAACCATAAGGAAGTCTTAACATTCTTTTATTGATTGGTCCTTTATTATAACAAAGGACTAGTTCAGGAAGATTGGGAAGAAAGAGAATAAAAACTAAATTATTCATAGTAAGTGTGTTGTCTTAGTGGGAAGTCAACCATAAGCATTATTTTGAAGTAAAGAAATAATGGATTCTATGCAAAACAGCATCTTTTATTGCTTGAGAAGTGAGGATAATCTAATTTGCTTGATGGCTGAAGTTTTGTCTACAGAGCTCCAAATAATAGATTGAAAACACATGCAGTCATGCAGTTATTTCTTAAGGTAGATTTTAACATTGTGGAAAGCATCAATTTGGATACTTGACAAAATTGTAAAGGCTCTAAAATTAAAACTGGAAGCAGCTTTAGATATCTTTCAGGCTAAACAGTCACTTTGCCCCTACATAGCATAACTAAAATTTTCAAGATCGCATTCTTAGATAGTGACAGAGTTTTAGCTAGAACTCAAATA